CCTTCCCTGTAAATCTTTAAAACAGCCCTTCAGAAAGTAGCAGTGATGATGCCCAAGTGACAAGGTAGGTCACTATGGCTTTTCATGGGTCTGCTGTCAAAATCACTAGCTTTTCTTGTTTGACCAATGTACTGTAACAAAAGGCTTCCAGGGAGAAGCCCTTTTCAGAATAATTTTGTTTACTTTAAAAAATAATTTAGAGTAAGTGTTCTGATTTTATACTGAACAATTTGTGTAGTAGTTGACATGGTGTTTTCTTTCATCTGAATTTCTAACTGTATTTCAGATGTGCTTTATAATTCTTTCCCTCACTAAGGAATTCCACTCTTGAAATAGTTACAAAATTTGCTTCTGAGTCTTGGAATTTTCCCCTGTTATTGTTGCATTTTTCTGTATGTGTTGGCATACCCATCTATGAGGAGATAGGTCGCGTACAAGGGAAAAGGAAAATAGCTAAAGATGGGCAAAATTAAAAACTATGTATTTGACAGAACACCATCTCCTGCATGCTGCTGCCAAATAAAAGGCCACTTAACAAGCATGAAGTATGTTAATTAAAGTTTTCCACTCCTTTCTTTAAACTGGGGCGGTTTAATTGTCACTGAAATATAACTTTTCAAGTTTTGTAGGAAGGGAAAAACTTGTTTTTAAAATACGATCTGTCTGCGAAAAATAGGCTGGTTTTAATGTTCATGTCAATGGGCATTTAAGGTCATGATGATGAAAATTTCCTCCTGAAAATGATGGGATGAAAGTGTAAGTTTGCTTGGGTTTCATTGGTAGAAAACTAAATGTAAGTACACAATACAATAATGTAAGCTTACACATTGTGTGAACAGTGTAAAGCAGCATAAGTATCTCAAGGCTGTCAAATACCACCTCTGTTTCTGATGACTGCAGTGATTTCTCTTACTTGCTTCTCTTTTAATATATCAGTATAATTGATCCCAGCCATTCTTTCTAAATGTTTCAGTGTGCTAATTCTTCTGCAAAATAAACCACATATATTCATGTTTCATGCAGCAGCTGTCCAGTTTTCCATAACTTATGATGGAGTTCTGTTCTGTAGTCCTGCTTTATTTTTCTTTGTAAGCTTTCAGGTTTTTCTTTATGCTTACCTCTGTAGCACATCACCAATTTATTTTGTAAAATCTATATGTAATGTCTGTAGGACGCTAAACTCATACTTTGTCTTTTCATGTTGGGGTGAGGGGGGAAAAAAAAATCTCTTGTTTTTTCAGGTCCCACTTCAGATTTTTCTGATCTTTGATAGGATTGGTAGTCTTGGGTGCCTCTACTGTTTTTAGTTTTTTCTGCATTTAGTTATGTGGAGTTTTGCTGATGTACTCAATGACATGTAAGATTCTGGTCATGCTAAGTATGACTTTTTTCTCTATCAGCTGGATTTATAAAAGTATAAATTTTTTTGCTAGGGTGTATTTTTCTTGTTTAAGAGACTGGGTGTTATGAGTAAAGTCAAACCTGCTGGAGCAAGAAAATCTTTTTGATAATTGTTGTTGTCCCAGAACTGTAGTTTGGTTAGTCCTTCTGCTTTCAGGAACAACTTTCCTTCTGGAAGCCTACTGAAATATCCCATAGTCACTACCTGATGATCTTCTCGAGAAAAAAAAAAACCAGAATGACTTTCTACCCAGCTTTTATACTTCTACACATCTCCTTTAGACTTTCTCACAAATATATATGGCACTTGTATCTGTAGCCAGAATAAAACAGTACCTGATTTTACTGATTTGTTCTATTTTAAACACTTGTGTTAGAGGACACATGAGGGAGAGGAATGAGACACCTTTCTCTCTCATTGTTCTTGAGCTCTTTGTCTCTTAAGTTATGCCTCCCTCCCTACTCCCTCATATTTATAGTCATGCCTTAGCAGATAGGTCTTTTACTGAGTGCTCATAGTATTCATGCCCTATGTAGAACACTAATGCTTTTAAAAAAGCAGTGATCCTTCTGAAATGTTTGTTTCTATATGTCTTACCTTGCATGCTTTCAAAGTCTGGATAGTAGGACACACACAAAGACAACTCCTGGTTAAGAAGCTGATTCTGAAGTTTTAGATGTGTTTCTCTGTCCCAAGTCTTAGTTGCTTGTTTTTAACCAATATAATAATATTTCTAGTCGTCTTGTATTTTTAAATGTTTTACAGCCAGTTACAACAGTCATCAGCTTCCTCATGAAGTTTTCATAAATGCTTTCTTTATTCAATCCTTTCAGGGTATTTTGCATGCTGTGCTGTAGTTAAGAGCTGGGAATTCTATTAAACTTCTAGAAATAGAAACCATTGACTAGTCTGAGTCATTAGAATCTTTCTATAGTTCAAAGACCTGTGATGTTAATACTGTCACTTCAACACCGGACCTAGCATCTGTACTCTTACAGTATATTTATGAAGGAGTGTGAAGTACTTTGAGCCATGTATTTGGTGATGAAATTCCTGAGGTTGATGTATCTTTCTTCCTCTAAATAGGTTTAGCGTTTAGGTGCCTTAGTGTAAAGCATAATTGGGTCCCATAATATGTTTGTCAGAGTTGGATAATGTGAAAACAGTTGTAAAGCTACAGAATGTTTATTTCTTTGGCCTCCAGGTTGTCTCTTTTAAGTACTCCAGTTAATCCATTATTTCACAGTGACACTGGTTTTGATCAGTTTATGGCTGATTGTTTCCCTAACTTTTCTCAAGCACTCCCAATGCCTTTGTGTTAATAGTGCTGCTGGAACCCTTTTGGTATTGAGGGTTTTTTTTGCCTCCTTTTCCTTCTTATTTTAGTAGGCATTGCTCTCTTGATGAGCAGATATGTATCTTTGGTTGAGGTTACACTGTATGTTTTCCCTTTGCAGTTAATAAAAAGTTCAGTCCCTCCACTGTTCTTTGGAGTTTATCTTCTTTTATGCAGCTCTCTGATCAAGTGAGAGACTCAGCTAATGGTCATACTTTTTCTATTTTGAGGGTCTGCTGGTATTGTAAGATTATTCTGTGTGTGCTTTTTGTTGGTGACAAGCAGAGGATGGTTGCAGTTAACTCTGTGAATACTGCCTTTAAGGCTATAGGTAATAGCATAAAAGAAGCAAAATTAATGATTTGTTTCTGTAATACCTACATGCAAAATCTGTCCCCCCCCCTTCATTTTTATTTGTCTCAATTTACACTTGCTTAGTAATGAAATGTGTGCTTCTCTGCAAGATTTAATTTTCATCTTTCTGTTTTCTAATCTAGCAAGCAGAAAGGGGGGGTGAAAAAGAAAGCAAAGTTATGTGTTCCTGTGTTTGATTTGTAGGCCTCTTTGCAGACCTTATTTAACTGCTCTCATTTGAGTCTTCTGCTGATTGTCTTCCTGAGTTGTGCCTTTCCTTTGCTGTGGAGATTTTTATTTTCTCTTAAATACACATGCTTTCCAACTTCCTTGCTCTAGCAAACTGCATCGTGTTTGCAGCAGTTCATGCACCTTTCCTTGCTGATTGTGGATGCTTTTTGTATTCCTATAATTGCTACATCTGTGAAATAATAGTTCTTTGATATATAAATGTGTACACCTTCCCGCCTCTGCTTTGCTTGCTTGCTTTAACACCAATCCATATGGCCTTTGTGCTTATATGGTTACTTTCATTTTTTTGTCTTTACTTAGATGATTGGCAGTCACAGGTCTCTTCTGACTCAGGAATTTCTTCATCAGTCATTTAGTTTAATTTTTTTTTAGTTCTGTATATTACGGAATTACATCTCTTGATATCAAAGAGTTTTAGAACACTGTCTTCTAATGTTAAATTTGATAATCTTTTCTGTCTGAGCCCCCATACCTTCCCCTATTTTGCATTCATTTCCAGGAAAGTGTCACAGGATAACATTTTCCATAAGTTCTGGATCTGCTGTGCTTCAGATTTTTTTTTTTTTTTCCTCCTCTTGCACATGGAATGCATTGTGTATATCTGACACTACAGCACTAGTTACTCCTCAGCTCATCTTCTACTTTAATAGTACCCTTGGCTATCATGTAGAGTTAACTTCTTATTTCAGTCTTGTAGCCAAATTCCCTATAACTTTTAGGATGAAGGATTTACATGTTGCAGCCACCCGGCCTCACCACAATGTGTGTATGGTTATATTTTCCTGAGCTGTGTTCAGTGTCAGTTCTGCTGCAAGCTTGCAGCCAAGTTGGGTTCTGAGATCTGCCAGGAACCTGGGGGGCTGGGAATGCTCGAGTCTGGGGAAAGGCTAGGACTGCTTGTAAAGGGCAAAGGATATTGGTAAGAGTAGGTTGGAAGAGCTGGGAGAAATCACAGGGTGATACTGAGTGATTTGAGACTCTGAGAGACAGAGAGATGGAGGGAAAAATGTGGTGTTATGTAATTAGAGATTTTGTTGCACCTGTTCCTATGTACACTCACAAAGATGTAATAAGGGACTGCCCCAACAACTCTTAAGAGTACTCAACTCTTGGAAGTTCAGTGTTCTGCAACTGCCTGTGAAGGTGAAGTGCTACCATATGCTTCCAGAGTCATCTTGACTCTGGGTTCTGCTTTTAACTTGATATAATTAACTGGTTTGAGTGGTATAGTTTAGAAAGTTGGTATTTTGTGTGGGTGAAGGATTTGCTTATACTTTCTTAGATAACAATGTAGTGTACTCTAGGCAGTAATGAGCATGTGTTTGCATGCTGGCTGCTTTTTGATGAAAGGTGAGCTTTACTGTATTCTTTAGCTGTTTCTGCTTTAGCAAGGGAAGTGGTTTGGGTGGTGAATTGGTCCCATGCTGTTTTGAATTGAGCAAACCTTAGTGGAAAAGTGATGATGACAAAAATTGTCATAACTTTCTTCATCTTATGATGGTTGAATAAAATTTTACTACTGCACTTTAGGCATTTTATTTTCATGAGAATGTTTTTCTTTATAATATTTCTATCTGCTCACTTGAAAGAAAGTTTGCTTCAGTTCTGTGTCTTTGCCCCCCCCAAACAAACAAATAACTTTTGTGTTTCTTTTAGCAAGCTGAAAAAGCTAAGTGAAGATAGTTTAACTAAGCAGCCTGAAGAAGTCTTTGATGTTCTGGAGAAACTCGGTGAAGGGTAAGTGCAGCTATTTATGAGAGGATGGGATCAGAGGGAAACAGTGTATAAAGCATGTGTTGGAATATTAAGTTACAGAGAGAGTGACTGTAAATGTCCTAAGGAATTCTTCTCTAGACAAGTTTCAATAATAAAGGAAATACATGCATCAGTAGACTTCCATGCTTCCCCAAATATATTGATACATTTATGATGTCCCTAGTTTATTAAGGCAGCAGGGGTGCTTACACCTGTACTAGAGTTATACATCTTGACAAAGATAAATTCTTCAGAGGCACGTCTTTTCTGAGGTCCTATTAGAACTGAATTTTTTGCAGCCTGAAAAAACCCTCAAACTTCTGTATGAGCATATGGCTTCTGTGACTTTTTAAAATTTCTGCATAGTGGAAATAAGAAGCAGTTTATCTTGTTTTTTTTTTTTTTAAAAAATCTCTTTTATTTTTAGGTCTTATGGTAGCGTGTTTAAAGCAATACACAAAGAGTCTGGACAAGTTGTAGCAATTAAACAGGTCCCTGTGGAGTCAGATCTTCAAGAAATAATTAAAGAAATCTCTATAATGCAACAATGTGACAGGTAGGTATGTCTATTCAGCTCCCTTTCCAAGAGTCTGTGTGAACATGTATTTGTACTTGTGAATATAGCTGAAATATATACAGCTGCAAACTTTTTTTTAACACGGAAAATTAAAGCTCTCTGTGTTGGACAGTTTACTTAAAGGACCCACTTTGCAGACCTCTTCCTATCCGTAGCTTGGATTGAAGGAAATACAAATAGTGTACATAACTGCTGAAGAATAAGTATTTGACTCTACTTAGAATTCTCCATACTTCACTTTACTTGCACAAGCCCAAAGGTTAATATTTCCTGTAAATGTCTTATGCCTTGTAAATTCAGAGTTACCTACTTCAGAAGATTGATAAATATGTTTATAGCAAGAAATTAAAGGCTTGCAGTTAACTTTCAAAATAGTATTCTATTGGTTGGCTTTTTCATGCAGGAACATACCTTTTTAAAAGTGAACAATCTTGTGGTGGTTCTGAAGGAGGACTGTTACCTTACTCTTGTTCACAAATGATACCTTATGATTGTTTGTATTGTAGGAATTGAAGCCTTAATATCAAGTGTCTGCAAGGGTGCAGAAATGTCATTTCCTCTCTTCTATGGAGTTATCAATTTATTTGTATCTTTATTTGGATAAACTTTTAAGGTTTTGGCTGCAACTTCAAAGTCAGATTTGCTATGATGAGTCTTTATTCATGCCTCATCAGTGGTACAAGAGTCTATTGTTTGTGACTCTGAGTGCAAACAGGAAGGCTTTGCACTCTAGTTAGGCAAAAATTCACTTAAAATATTGATTGCTTTAGTCATTAACTTGGTGAATTGTATTGTAGCAGGTGGTCTTTTGTTTCTCGATTCTGTTTGCTTTTGTGGTGTGTTGGTGTTGAAGTTCTGTCTCTATATGAAAAATTTGCTCTTGTTTGGCAATGAGCAGTAGTCATTGCAGTTTGAAAGATAATCCTTTTAATGGAGTCCGAATTAATTCAGATTTCTTGCTGAATGTTTTGCTCAGCTGTTATATAGAGCTTGATCATACTGCTCCACAGCATCTTGTCTATGGGGTCATTAAGGAGGAGAGAAGGTTCAAGTATTTATCCTTAAATATCGTGATAGAGACCTCAAAGTACACTGAAGGCTAGATGCATTCTCATGTGCTAGATACAAACTTCTTCAGAACCTCTGCCTGCAAGCCTTTATTTGAGTATTTGTGACCTACTGAACACACTGGACCTTGTAATCCATTCCCTTCTGACTCTGACTGCTCTGAACACTAGAAGCTTGTTAAATGTGTAGGCAGGGGAATGGGGGGAAAAGGAAGGATTTATGTGTCTTTCCACGCATTTCATAGAGATGTGTGATAACCTTATTTCAGGTGATACTAAAATGGTTTGGGCCCCTTGAGTTTTTTCAGGGCTCCTCCTTTTTGTCTCTGAGACTATTTTTGTCTGGCCAATTGGAATTTTGTAACAGGTACACATTAAAAAGGAAGCAGGAATCTTGTTTGACTGAATAATTTTGGAACTAGATTTGATCCCCAGAGTAGGTGCTCAGCTCTTGCTCACTGGAAGAGTAGTTAAAATGTTTACTTTGATTCTTCTTGTTGCTTTTAATTCTTTTCATCTCCTCTGCTTCATTTTTCTTCCTTTATGTAAAGGAAGACATTGAGTAAGTTGGAAAACAGCACCTTATGAATTCTCAGAGTTCTTCCATGGGGTCAGTGATAGGATAGCAGTCCTTAGTCTCTACACAGGCTTGAGCCATGTGAGCTGACTGGAAGCAGTGGGTGTAGGGTGTGTATGTCTGTTAAGTACTAGACTGGGATTGAAATGTCCTAGTGCTAGACCAGGACTGCTAAACAAATGTGTGTGAAATATACTGACAAAGATACTTGAGAATCTTCTAAATTTTTCACCTTTCTTTCTGTGCTATACTTCTTGTAACATTTTCATTCTTGTTCTAGGTGGGCCTACTCTCCATCTTTCTCCTGTGTCCCCTGTCCTGCCCCCCTTTTCTTTGCCCTTGTTCTTTGTTTTCTGTTTTTCTTAGTAAATGCAACACAATGTTCAATCTACTGGACATGTACTATTGTGTAACATTTTTTAAGTTGTAAGAGTTCAGAATTTTAGAACACAAACTTCCTTCGCTGGACAAGATGAAGCCATTCTGTGGCTGAGAAGAGGGTTGGGCTGCAGCTCTGCACTGTGTGCTTGTATGTGTCATGTGCCTTTGTGCAAATACAGTGCTGTGCAGTATTGACGGGAGGGGTGACGCACTTTCTGGTACTTTATTTTCTCATGTTATGATTCCACAGATACTACAGAAAAGCACTGAGCAGTTGCACATCTCAAAGATGATTATATCTTAACACTTTACCTTTCTTTCTTTTCCAGGTCTTTTTCTAGAACTAAGGGGAAAAAATATACATTCTAAGACAAGCAGTTAATATCGAAAAGGCTGGCCTATGTAGTTAACTGGGACAAAGCTTTAGGCAAATGCCGTGTTTTGAGATTACACAGCCCTTGATGTTTTGAAAAGATTTTCTTGTCCTGATTTGTAATAATATCCAATTTTTGCTGAGAATACTAGCATAGTGTAAATCCAGCAGAGATGGTAGTGAAAAACAGTGGGTTTTCTGCAGAAGTAGTAGTAACCTTCCTCACTTCAGGAATTTATAAGGGGCAAGAATGCTATGTTATACTTTTAAATGTAGAGATTTTGACTAGTTAGGAGGGAATTGACCCACGTTGCCTTCTGTAAAGACAAGATCCTATAGTACTAACAGTTGCTCTTTAATGAAGTAGTTTGCTGGTAGTTTCAACCGATCTTTTATAAAGATAGCCCCATGTTGCAGGAGGTAACCATAGGTCCTTTCTTTTTCTTACATCGGTTTTCCTACAAAAAAAATATAGCTGCAAACATGCTGATCTTAAAATACAGTTCCTTGCTCCAAAACAAAATAGTGTTTGATTTCACCCCACAGTGCAGGTGTTCTGACCAGAAGCCGCTGTCTGAGATCTCAATATCTTACTTCCTGAATTTGTGGGAGGTGGATGGCAATCTTAACTGTAACCTCCTTTGCTTAAGTTCCTGCAAAAAAACCCCCAAACTCCAAACTTTTACATCTAATCACTTTTCTGAAGGATGATCCTTGTTATGTTTACCACATCTGTTCCTGCCTTTTGTAAGTACCTCCGAGGAACCATTATGTCAGTTGACAAACTGTTGAGTGGCAAAAGGATATGTTCTGTTTATGACAGTGCCATCTCTTCACCTGAGACACTTCAATATGAGAATGTATTTGAATCCAGAAGTCTTGTTCAAACCAACACTAGATTGTGCTTAATATGGAAGTCTAGTTTTGTACTTGAAATAAGTTCATACTTGCAAAACCAGAAAAACATGGGTGAGTTTCCGTGGGGTTTTTTTGCTCATGAGAAGAAAACAAGGCAATCTTTTTAGGAAAAGAAGCATTCAATAACTTTGTGAGAAAAGTTAAAAATTGAGAGACCTTGGAGGAGTGAAAAACAAAGCTTTATATCAGAAGACTAATGTTTGGGAAAACTATGTCTGTATTTGAAGATGACTGAAAGCTTGTGATACAGTAGTGCCTCTATAATTCTCTTAAGCAGTCAGACTTTATTCTAACCAGACATTGGTTAAGCTAATTAATTTTAAAGTGTATTTGATTACACTTGCTCTGTAGCTGTGTTAGTGTGTGTCAAACTGTTATTTTTAACAACACTTTTTTTCCCCACACTGAGAATTAATCTATTTATCTAACTTTTTTTTTTCTGTCTAGTCCCTATGTTGTCAAGTACTATGGCAGCTATTTTAAGAACACAGATCTATGGATTGTTATGGAATATTGTGGAGCTGGCTCTGTTTCAGACATTATTAGACTTCGTAATAAAACGGTGAGTTTTTTGGTTTGTGGTTTTTTGTTTTTTTTTTTCCAAAAATGCATGACACTTATTAAAATTAAACTGAATTAAGACTAGAAGCCAGAATAAAAGTCAGACAAGATCTTGTCTGAAGCCAAGGAGTGTTATCTGTGCCTTGGTTCCTCAGGAAACAAGCTTGTGCAGTTACTCTGACTGTTTGTCCATTCCTCTGTGGAGTTATCAGCAGCAGAAACAAATGCATTTTGAAATGTGAAGATCCTGTAGGTTACTTGAAATTTACTGCTTTGTACAAAGCAAAACTGTATGTGGCTTCTTCCCCCTACCCCTTCTACCTCACAGTCTGTCAGCAGGCCACTTAGTACATGCATGGTTTGGAAACAGGCATAGAATTGGGAGCATGAGCAGTAATCTGTGTTACTCAAGGAATGAGAACGGGAAGGGATGCCAGTTAAGTAATGTGAGAACCCAAATGAGGGTTGTATGGAAGAGTCTTAATAGGCTTATAACAGCAGTAACGTAGAGGAGGATGCAAACCTGTAGGAAACGGGCTTTCTACTTAAACAGCTTCTCTGAAGAATGTTTTACTGTAGCTGTCAAGTAATATTTACTTTGAGTCTATTGTTTTCAGTAGTGGGCTGTAACATAAGGTATTAATTTTACCAACAAATACTGTGAGATGACCCTCTACTTGCTAGCTCTTTACATTTTATAAACATGCCCTGAAATGTTCCTTGCACCATACCTGGAATCAGAGAGGAAAAACAATTTTAGGCTTAGAAAATAGGGCATAATGGAAGATGGAATTATATTTATTGGGAAGTGGAGGTGATGCTCAGACTAGAGGGAGCCCCTTTGGAAAGGGTGGCTTGTGTCAGGGCTGCTGTAATGTTGGACTGATAAAACCAAAACCAATGGGAGACTGCTGGAGTTTTTGTAGCCTTAAAACCTGGTGTCCTTATGCCAGTAAGCTTCAATAGAAATGGTGCAAGCTAGTCCAGAATTAAAAAAAAAAATCCATTTAAAACAGGATTTAGAAAAATGAGCAAACTTGTGTGTGCATTGGTAAAATGCTAAAATTTTTTATTTAAAAAAGGTGTGTGTATGTATCTGTATTAAATCAGGCCATCTAGTTTCTCTTATATCTATTTTAGAATACAGACATAGTAGAGATGTTAGAGATTTGAGGGGAAGAGATGCTTGACTCAGCAGATGCATTATCAGTGTTCAAACAATAACTTTTCTACTGCTTTTTGTGGTTGAAGTTGATGATTAAATAGCATAAATTATATGCTAAGAAATAAAATAATCAAGAAATACATTAATACATGTAATGAGAGTAAAGTTAATGTACCTTTTGTAAAGGTGCTTCATGCAGCACATGCCTAGTAGAGCTCTATAAAGGAGTTGTTGGGCACACAAATAATGCTGGTTGGTGTAAAGTTGTACAAAGCATCTGGATGTGCTTTGTAGTGAAAAGTTTATGGACAGATTTCCACACTAGAGGGTCTTCAAGAAATATACCCATAGGGTAGTAAGTGGGGAGTTCTGTCATATATGGGTTGTTGTTTTAAATATAAAAAAATAGGGTGTGAGTAAAACAGCCATTTTGGGAATACTAAATGGAAATAAGAATTGGTTTCACTGTAACTTTCACAAGAAAAAAAAGAAGTATCTTCACTTGGAAGTGAAGAGGGAATTGATTCTTACGTTGTTAGAATGTTTATTGACTAGGCCAAGACACACAGGGTTATGTGTTCTGTGATTTTTTTTTCCTGAGCTGTCAAATGAAGACTGTGGCTGGGCCAAGGAAAAGCTTGCTTCCTGCTTCTCCATATGTAAGGAAAAGTAACTGAGGAAGAGAGAATTGGAAGTAAGAGCCCTTACTTTAACACAGTGGTCATTATGGTCATCATTTGGACTTGATCTTAAAAGTCTCTTCTCACCTATATGATTCTATGATCATATCAAAATAAGTCATAGGAAAAGGTGGATGTCTCCTCATATTTGGGGAGGAAATGCTACTATGCGTTTGCTCTTGTTGCTTGTCTCTGAAATGTAATAATTTACTGATTTTTTTTAAATTTTTTTTTTTTTGTATCTCTGTTTCTCCTACTTCAAGTTTTGTTATTTGTCTAGAAAGTGAACAACACTGGTCTTTGCTCTAATGGATGAAAAACGAGGGAAGCAGAATTCAAAGTAAAGGAAATCTTTAGTAACTGTTGGGAGCCTGTTCACACAGAGAGGTTTTCAGCTTGATAGGAGCAGGTTCTTCAAGAGGCCCAAGCCACTACTTGAAAGTTAAATCGACCCCTGGAGTTCTGCCCTGGAGTCTTCTAGCATGCCAAACAGATCAGCAGTGCTAGAGCAAGCTTATGATGCCTGTTGGCTGATCTGAGGTGTGGAATTCATCGGTTCAGGGCAACAAAGTTGTATATGTAGTCTTGCCTGCTTTTCTCAAACTGATTTGGGAGGTACATGTATCTTACACAGTCTGTGTGTTGCCGCCAGAAAAGGTGGTTCGGCTGTTATCCTTCAGCATGACTGATGTGTTGCTGCCTTCTGTATGCCTCAGATCTGGTGATTGTGTGGCTGCAGGGCAATCCTGTCTCAGCTTGATGGGGGTACTTTTTCCTCTCTAGTCTTATCTTCCCCACCCCCTTGTGAGCTAACTCAGGACTTACTGTGGCAGCACAGTGGCTTGATCTGATGCAAGAGAGATGTTAGGAATGAGCAGTGAGGAAAGGGAAGGAAAAGAGGGAATGAGACTGACTTTTTCAGTGGTAGCTTGCAATAGAATGAGATAATTACAATGTGAGGCAATACTTAAAGTCCTGCTGGCTGCTGTTAACTTATCAGAGTACCGAGACACCAGTGACCCTGTCTCTCTACTGATAATTTAGGGTGCACCTGCTCATCTGCTGACCATGATTAGTTGAGTCATTCTACTCTGGTCTTTTCTGAGGACCATATTCAGATGGCTGTAGCATACCATGCAGTGGCTGTGCAGTGGATTTATGAGACAAAACCTTCTTGTTTGGGACAGTATTGTAAATAAGTGTAGCAATGTACAACTATACGTGTGGTGTGCTGTTGGGTCCAGAGGTCCTGCACCCTGTATCTAAACTGTGATTTCCTTTACATACCAATTTATTTGTCTGTTACATACATTGCCTCCTGTATTCTTATTGATTATCTTCTGCCATGTTTTCTTAGTTATTACTTTTTTCATGTGTTTAAGCTCCAGTAATTCAAATTAATAGTTTTATCTGAATCTCTAGATACTGCATTTGAATGTCCTTTGGTTTTGTTTTCTCTATATGCTACTGTGGACGTCCAAGGCAGACCTTTGTTACCTCTCTGGGCTGAAGGCACTTTGTTCATAAGGATGTTATCTTGAAGTTTTAAGCAGTCATGTTTCTCAGTAATTTCACAGCTGAAATAGTTTGAATTTGTGGGACTTTGCTGCACATGTGATTTGCAGCTGTGAATTGGTTATCTAAGGCCTAGTAACTCTTATGTTTTCTGTTTAAGTAGCATCTATCACTGTATAACTTCCTCAGTTGAACCTATGCAGATTAATTAGTAGCCAGCCAGTCCATACACAAAGACTGAAATTGCTTCTGCAATGAGTAAGCTGTTTAACTGATCTTGGTGGTCAGTAGTTAAGACAACAGACAAGTCCATCCTGGATATACTGCTGACCATATTCTGTTGATAAGCCTTCTGGGAGGTGAACTGAATCAATAGGCTAGTCAGCTGTGTTACTGTTCAGAGACTGATCTTTAGGTCAAGACTCTTCAAGTCCTTTTCTATACGGCCAGACTGAGGAAGAGGAGGAAAGCAGTTGATCCCAAATGTCCTGGTTGCCTTAATCTGTGTCTAGCCTTACAAACCAAGGTAGTCTATACTAGTTTCTGCAGTGCGACACAAAGATTATTGCTTGTCTAAATAAACTTCTTATTACGGCTCTGAATGATTGACTGTTACATAAACATTGGGTGATATTATCTTAGTTTTTAGGAACTATGTTTCCTTGGCTCTTTAGATTGGCATCACAGGTTCCTTCAACAATGGGTTGTGGTGTCTGGATCTCAGAATGATAGACCTTTCTTGCACCATAGCAGTTAAACAGTATCCATCTGCTTGGAAATTAGCTCATAGGAGAAAATTAGCTTTCATCCCTGGAAAGAAAGTATTTGTGTGCCAGAAATAAGATGCATGTTATGTGTTGGTTAATTGTCATGAAAGAAGAGGATATTACAACTACGTTGTTAACTGTCTGTTTCCAGAATAACTATGTATCTATTAAATGCAAACAAGGCTGCCAAAAAAAGCATTAAGAAGTTGGAAGTTTCAGAACCAGGATTGGCCATGCAGTATCCTCTGATACATGTGCAGTGTGAAACACTAATTGTCCTCTTTCTCCCTTTTTCTGCAGGACTCAGTGTTAGTGAATCATGGTCACTCAGTGAGGAATCCCTCTATATGCTATTAAAATAGTATATGAGTGTTTATTTGCAAAAGACTAAAAGGCTTGCTCTGAAGACAGAATTATCTTTCCCCAAGCTTTATTTGACCTTCATCTTTCCATTAAAATAAATACTGTTATTAACTAGTCATATACTGCTATAAATATCTACAGGTCAGTTCTAAGGAGAACTAGCTTCCTGGGTAATTTCTGTAGTTTCCCACCTAGATTAACCAAGGTAGGTGCATAAAATACTGGAGATCATTTTATGGGCAGTCTTAAAATGGATGGTAGCTATGTAATGTTACAATACTAAGCATTTTATAATTCAGTGACTTTCTGTTTTTAAAGTGTACTTCTTGCAAGAAAGATTACAAAACATTACTTCAGTTCTAATGGCTGTATTTGCTGGCTTTCACAATGTTTATATTTACTACTGATTTCTTTCTGCAGTCGAGTCACTGCTAAAGGCTGAGGGGCTATAATATGGTGGTGGTGGGATAGAATTTTCAAGTTTTTTTTCTGATATGCAGACTGTCTAGTT